CACACACACACACACACACAGGTTCACACACACACACACACACACACGGACTGGGATAAAGGCAGAGGAACGAACCCGTGTCGGCCCACAAATCGATGAAGACGTGAGCAGCCATGAGGCAGTACATGTCCGAGAACTGGAGCTCCGTCTTCAGGGCGTTCTTCCCTGTTAACACACACCAAAAACAAGCTCCCGTCAGTAAAAATAACCCAAATAAACACAACAAAACCTTAAAATAAGGAGTTTGGACACTTCAGACAACATTTAACCACACAAATCCATCAAAATACCTCCTAAAAATAACCCAAATAAACACAACAAACCCTTAACCCTTTAAAGCTGGATCCAAGAAAAATAGGAAGAATATTGGATTTTTTCAGTCTGAAGTCTTTCTTTGGCCCCTCAACAACATATGAAGAAAAAAAAACAGAAATTATTTTGATCAAATTAACATGCAATAAGTCAAAAATATATTTTGGTGTAGTCTTCTACTGGCTGTTATCAGGTATATCTGAATGTGTACAACAGGAGATTAAAGCTTTAAACTGGAGCTGAACGTCTGTTTTATAAAGTTAGAGGACTTTCAGAGACTTGAAGGAGAAAATTAGAGCCGATTTCTGAGAAAAAACAAAAATTGAGATTTTCTCTGGACTCTAGTTTGGATCAGAGACTCAGATGTTGATGGTTTCTGTCAGAGCAGGAAGCATCCAGCTGGTTTTAAGCAGTTTAGAAGCGAAATAAAAAGTTTTATAAACCTCTGAAACGGGTCAATTTCAAAGGAAAACATCATGAATGTTAAAGAGAGATAGTTTGTGCTATGACTATGTAAACACCGGCGACATGTTCTCTCATAGCGAACCGTTAACTTTTTCTTATTTGCCTACAGTCTATGCTCATCTCCCATCAAAAGTGGCACTGCCCCCTAGAGGGTCAATTTGTTACTACATACTCTGTCTAGAAGCCTGATATTTACGGACAAGCTTTAGCAGATCGTCCCCCAGCCACTCTCGTTAAAAAACATAAAAGACGTCTATAGACGTCTTTGGCAGCCAATGAGTTAAAGAGACAGAAAGACTTCTGCTTATTGGGGGCTATTCCAGAGTGGAGAAAGGACTTAAAAAACCTGGAAAAAAGGCAGAAAATGCCCTCCTTATGCTCAGTGACTTAGAGCTCTTACCAAACCTGAGCCCGTGCCGGTAGTGGGCCTTGAGCTCGGTGATGAGCCGCAGCTTCCCGGCGACGTCCAGCGCGTGCTGCAGGCCGAGGGCCCGGCCCAGCTGGCACACGCACAGGTGCCTCTGCAGCCCGCGGGTGTCCTCCGGGAAGCAGAAGCCCTCCTCCCCCGCCTCCGAAAGGGGCACGGCCTCGCTCAGACGGTTAATGAACTGAAGGGGGGAAAGAGGAGGGGACAGGTTCTGAGTGTTTACAGTGGGGGATATAAGTATTCGACCCCTTGCTTATTTTGCAGGTTTGCCCACTTACAAAGAATGCTTATTTTTCCTCATCAGATGGTTATCAATTTTTATAAATTCAT